CTTTTGAAAGACTTTTGTATAGCTATTATAACTTTTTACCAGAGAATTGCTTTATATGGCTTTGAATTCGAAAATTAATGATTTTATAATAATTGTGATTAATTTTGAATGGAATATCAGATCATAATAAAAAAAAAAATACAAACATGTTGCAACTTGTATATCTTCAAACATGCATTTTTAAATCTTTCGTTAAAAAATGGTTTTACTTAGTTAAGTCTCAACTTTAAGTTGAGTTGAACTTCACTCAAGACTAAATTCACGTGAGGAGTACTGTTTGATAGACACAACTACATAGTTATTACTTACTCAAGACTTAATTTTTTAACAACTACGAAGACTTCGTAGTTGTTCGTAGACTTCGTCATAGTTATCTGTATCATACATAATTTTTATGTATCATTCAGTGTACATGTACACTGTATGACGTACAATGTACAGGCTAAGTTCTTAAGTCTTATACACACAATGTATTTAGTATATATATACGTTCTGTATCATACAGTGTATACACTGTATGATACAGAATGTATACATATACTACATACATTGACAATGTCATTGTGTGTATAAGAGTTGAGAATTTAGCCTTAATGTGGGAGCTACGACTTAAGTCTTAACTCTCTCAAGTTGAGTCTTAACTTTAGATTATACACTAATATACAATATGTAAATCATTTAAATTTTACTAAATGTATGATACTGAGTAGTTATCTATATTGTACAGATTTTATTGTACAGTGTACTACATAATATGTCGTACATTTTTATTTATACTGTGTGTACCATATACATTGTTAGTAAATATAGTTAGTGCTAATATTGTTTAATTATCATTTTCAAACTTTTTCATAAAAAATTAATGAATAAGTTTGGTTAAATTTGTATAAAATCCCTTTTTTTTTTCTTTTTTTTTTTTTAAGCTATGCAAGTACTCTGTAAAGGTATTGTTTTAAAATAAACAAATTAAATCAGGAAAAGAAGTGATTGTTATAGAACTCAGAAAGGCTGAAAAGCGAAACGAAGGCTGTTAAAGAAAAAAAAGGTTGTTAAAGAAAAAAAAGGTTGTTAAAAAAATTAGAAAGGTTAAATAACGAGAAGAAGTGGTTTTTAATGGAAAAATCAGAAAGGTTGAATCACAAGAAGAAGTCTTAATAAAAGAATTTGATAGGGTTAAATTATGCAAAAAAGTGGTTGTGAAAAGAAATCACATTAATTGTTTGTTTGAGAGCAATAGGTATGGAATACTTAATTTCCATTTTTGTGTTTATTTTTACTTCAAAATTATTAGCTGAATATATATATATATATATATATATATATATATATATATATATATATATATATATATATATATATATATATATATATATATATATATATATGTATGTATATATATATATATATATATATATATATATATATATATATATATATATATATATATATATATATGTATGTATATATATATATATATATATATATATATATATATATATATATATATATATATATATATATATATACACACTCTATATATATAAACTCTCACAATTATACTAATAATTTCAATAGTAGTTATGGCAATCCCTAAAGCTCAGTTTGTCCAACACCGGAATCCGACGTTAGGCCAACGTTGGCCCAACGGTCAGTTTTGACGTTGCGCGGACTATCAAAATGACGTTGGGCTAATATTGGCTATCGACCATCTGCCAGCCAATTTTTCTACGTCGGCCCAACGTAAGCGTGTTAGCTGGGTGGTAATATATCCCAGCTAGCACACATATGTTAGGCTAACGTCGGCACAATGGCAGAAGTGTTGTTCAATTTTTTTAACTAAGTGATAACGTTGAGCCAAAGTCGTGCCAACATCGGTATACGACTGAATTTTAAAATAAGTTCAGTGTGTTCCAGGTTTTAATGACAATAGTTTTCTGCCATTCTTAAAAGCTTTTAAAACACGACTTTTTATTAGAGAATTTTATTGATTGTATTTTTGATTTTGATTTTATTGTTGATAATAATTTCGAGTAGTTATAAAAATATAATAGAAACATGCTAAAATTTGTATATCGTTAAATATGTAGTTTTTAATATTTCTTTAAAATCAGGATTTACTTAAATAGCTGTCGTCTGTATCTTATTAATAATTACATCGTTAAACTTTAACTTAAAGCATCATTATCAAACATTTTTATACAAACTTACGAAAACAATTTGGTTAAAATTTGTACCAAATTCCGCTTTTATTTAGTTGCTGGTCATTTAATTTATGCAAAGAAGTTGTAAAGTAAAACATAAACAGATTAAATCATGAGAAGAAGTGGTTGTTATATTACTATGTTACATATTTTACAACATGTACTAGATATTGTTAGTAAATACATGTATTTATTTTAGATAACAGATATTGTGAATTAATGTGTTTACCTCATTCCTGTTTTATAGTTTTTATTCTGCATTAAAATAGTATGCTGTTAAAATGTCCTAAATTATAATATAATATATTACTTATTGTTTCTGTATAGTATGTCTTTATTGTATGTTTTATGTTTAATTATATACATTTGCAGCATTTTTATGGTAAAATGAATTTTTATAATATTTGTATAATAAAATTGCGAAGCTCTAATTTTTGAAGTAAAATAATGATACTATTTTTCAATAAATTTCTTTTTAGATGTGACATTAAAAAATGAATGCAATATCAACAAATGTGATATATATATATATATATATATATATATATATATATATATATATATATATATATATATATATATATATATATGTATATATATATATATATATATATATATATATATATATATATATATATATATATATATATATATATATATATATATATATAAAATGAATATTTGTACAACTTTTCTTCCAATCATTTGACATTTTACCTTCATATACAATTGCATTGCAACGGTCTGGCACCCACTGAACACCAATATCCCCTAAAGCTTTCAACATTTCTGCCAAAATTCCAGAAGGACCAGCATAGCCTAACTGAGCCTTCTGAATAGCTAATTTCACTTCACTGCATGTTATTTGCTCTGCTAATCTACTAACCTTATTCACTGCAGATAAACTTTCCTTCTTCCATCCAAACTCTTCATTTAGCGTTTTTTCAAAATGAGCGCCATCCATCTTGCTTTAACCGCAACTATATATATATATATATATATATATATATATATATATATATATATATATATATATATATATATAGTCTTGCATGTCTCTTGCGTAGCATCAAAAAATATTTCCCATAAACTGTAGTTTTAAAGAGCGCGTTAATAAACCAGACCAGAAAAAGTTTTAAAAATTAAATTTTTTTTTTTAATTGATAGACTGCCTGGCCAAACCAAACCCTCAGTCGATGTAGCAGCACTCTCTTGCGAGTCAGGCTATTTGTCAGTCGTTGTAGCAGCACTCCCTTGCGAGTCAGGCTATTTGTCAGTCGATGTAGCAGCATTCCCTTGCGAGTCAGGCTATTTGTCAGTCGATGTAGCAGCACTCCGTTGCGAGTCAGGCTATTTGTCAGTCGATGTAGCAGCACTCTGTTGCGAGTCAGGCTATTTGTCAGTCGATGTAGCAGCACTCCGTTGCGAGTCAGGCTATAAGATAGTCGATGTAGCAACATTTACGCATGTTTAAAAAATGTTTTTTATTAAATCAATAACAAAAACACCACTAATTAAAAAAAACTTTCTAGTCGTTATAATTGCGGTTTTTTAAAAATTTTTTAAAAAACAATTAAATTTAATGTACTTCCGCATAAATTAATTGCTTTGACATTTCGATGACAATCAAAAACAGCTTAAGAGACGAGGTAATTAAAATTGTAGTCGTAAGAGACTTTTTTTACATTAAAATGCTCTTAAAGCGACACTATATGAGTATATATATATATATATATATATATATATATATATATATATATATATATATATATATATATATATATATAAACACACACTAATGTCTGAGTTATAATTCTTATAGTTTTAGCAGCAGTTATGGCAATGTCTAAAGCTCGTCAAACCAAAGATGCAAGTTCAAAGATTTCTATCAAATTGTATCAAGAGGAGCATTCGAACGTTATAGTTGCTCTCAAGCGAAGTGAAGATTCAAGATTCGTAAGGATGCTTAGCAGTTGAGAAGAACATTAATATGTTTGAATATATTTTGTACGAATATTTTAACATAATTATAATAGTTATTGCAACAAGTTTTGATTTTCTCGATGTAATTGTTAAATTAAAGTTGATTCATCATCAAATTTTATTCAAACTTACTTGGACATTGCATTTTAATAAACATTACAAAGAAATAGTTGCACTTTTTAAAATAGTTGCACTATTTAAAGAAATGGTTGAACATTATATAAAAAATGGTTGGACTTTATTTATAGAAATGGTTGGTCTTTATTTTAAGAAATAGTTGCGCCTTTTTTAAAGAAATGTACTTTACTTTCGTTGCACTTTAGTCGAAGAAATAGTTTTAAGTTGTTTTCAAAAACTTTGTTTTTGATTCAAAAGATAAGCACATCTTTTGAATCAAAAACAAAGTTTTTGAAAACAAATTAAAACTATTATTATTTAAATATTACGTCGGACCAACGTCAAAATGCGACGCTTGCCCAACGTCGGAATTCGACGTCGGGCCAACGTTAGCCCAAAGGTCGGTTGCGACGTCGCGTCGACTATCAAATCCACGTTGGCTCGACGTCGGTTGCTGACCATCGGCCAACGAGTTTTTTGACGTCGATCCGACGTTGGGCCAACGTCAATGTGCTAGCTGGGAAAGCATACTGCTTCCTGTCTTTGTTTAGAAAGCGAATCCCACAAGGCAACAGGACTTGGAACAGGTTGCACTGGGTTACATTTTACCAGTAGCAGAGTGATCATGAAGACCATACACCTGACCTGACAATGGTTTTTTACCACTATTCCACAAATGCTTTACCAGCTTACTGCAAACCAAAACACAAGTTATAAATGCTTTATGAAGTTTTTTGAACAATTAAACTTAGCAATACTTTCACTTCAATGTAAAATAATTTTTTTTTTTTTTTTTTTTTTTTTTTTTGTGTGTCTTTTTATGTTATTTTAATTTTTTAGAAGATATACTGATATTTAATAAAACCAATGTTTAAAATAACAAAATTTATTTATACTATTATTATTTTTAACTGTATATTTTTTTATCAAAAAAAATTGGATATTTTAGTAAAAAAAAAAAAAAAAAAGCGCTATTTTCAAAACCAATATTCAAAATTAAAAAAATTTAAAGGTTTTTGGAAATCATTGAAATTATGGAAATGTAAAAGAACTTTATCCGATCAAAGAAAAAGCCATGAAGTTTCTGAATTTTCTTTGAAAGTCACGGAAAATTCATGGAACCTTTTAAAATGATTATGATTCTTTTTTACTAGTGATAATTTTAAAGATGCAAAAAGTACTAGTAAGTCTAGTGAAAAACCTTTTTAAAAAAGATAAGAAGATATTCTTTTTAAACATAATCTTTGAACAATATAGCTAGTAATTTTTGGTCTACATTTATTTATTTATATGACTACATTTAGGTCTACATTTATATTTATTTATATAAGTGGCAAAAATTAAGCGCACGGCAACACTGGGTACTCCAGCCTAGTAATTTATCATGAAAATTTAGAAGTCAGAAAAAACATGACATTTGTTTAAAAACTTGAATCGCCATCCTACTTATGACTATTGTCTTACTAACAGTTACTCTCTGTGAAAGTTTATTAGCTGAACTCTCACTTGTTCTCTCTATAAAGTCTCATTTTAAGCTAAACTTTCAATGACATCTCAAAATTTTAGCTGAACTCTCTAGAAACTCTCATTTTTTAGCTGAACTCTCTATGAAACTTATTCTTTTTTTTTTTTTTTAAACAGAACTCTCTGTAAAATCTCATTTTTTAAGCTAAACTTTTTTTGAAATCATTTTTTTTTTTAGCTGAACTCTCTATGAAATTTCATTTTTTTAAATCTACACTCTCTATTAGCTCATTTTTTTTTTTTTTAGCTAAACAGCCTATGAAATCTCAATTTTGTAGATGAACTCTATGTGAAATTCCATTTTTTTAGCTGAACTCTCTTTGAACTATCATTTTTTAAGCTAAAAACTTTCAAAACTCTCAATAAAATCTGTTTTTTTTTAACTGAACCTTCACTTTTTTTTAGCAAAATTTTCTATAAAATCTCATTTTTTTACCATGATTCTGTGAAAATCATTTTTTAGCTAAACTCTCTATGAAACCTCATTTTTTTTAGCTGAACTCCCTATGTTTCTTTTTTTTAAACTAAACTCTATAACCTCACTTTATTAGCAGAACTCTATATGAACTCTCATTTTTTAGCTTTTATATATACAAATAGAAAAACATTTAACTTTAAGGGATACTACAAGTTAAGGTAAAAGGTCTGTATATAGTTGTCACTTGTCACTGAGCTAACACCACAGCAGAAATTTTAACACAAACATACATATATCAACTCCGATAAAAAGGACCAAATGTCTTTTTTCAACCCTCTAAAATTGTACAAAAATGCGCAATTTTAAAGGGTTACTTCCTAATCTCTCGAAACATGTTATAAGAATAAAGGAATTATATTAACATAATATATTTTCCATTATGCCTTTGCTAAACCAAAGTCATTGATGAAACCGTCAAATGATAAACTGTTACTTTCTTAATTTAAATATAAAATTCATGTTTTTTAAAAAATGTGAAAAAAAAAAAAATCTTTTACCGAAAAAATTTATTTAATTTATTTAAAAGTTTGTGATTTATTTAAATAACTTTATATCCATTAGATAATTTTACATTTTTAAATAACAATTTTTGGGTGGAAAATATTAAATAGTAAACAATATTTTTTTTTTTATATAAATTTTCATCTGAATTCTCTTGTTTTGCTACGCAAATAATATTACAGTTTATTTTATTTTCCATGCGGATTCTTTCATACTCTGCAATTGTTTCAATGATTGTCTTCTCCATATCAACCACAAAAAACCTAAAGCTGTGCAAATTGCCGTTTCCACATAATAACCATCTACTTGTGTCACACATTTTCCACCAGCATTTGTACATTTCTGTAAAAAGGAAAAATAAAATACTATAAAGAATAAGGAATAAAAAAAATTACTGTGCATAAATACACCTTACACCCTAAAATCTTCCTGAATTTTTTAAAGCTCTAATGAAAACTAATAAGAGGGAAGAGGTTAAGAAAAATAAGAGGGAAGAGGTAAAGAAAAAACCTTTTTACAAAATTAAATATTGCATTATTAAACTACACAAAAGGTTTTTTTAACAAACTCTAAATTTTTATGATATTTTAATTTTATTTCAGTTACTGTGAGTTGGGAATAAATAAAGCTTTACCATAGCTCAAGTACCTTGTGGTAAAATCGAAGATTTACAATTGAGATTTATTTTCCAAGTACATATTATTTTGTTTTAAAATACGTTTCGAATTTATAAAGTAACAATTTTCTTTCAGCTCAATTGTTCTAAGCAAGGGCGGATCCAAAAGAGGGGAATGGAGGAGAAAATTCGACCCTCCCATTTAGATATTTTGGAAAGATTTTGGAAATTCGGAAAGTTTTTTTTTCAATTTATATATTTAGCACAGCATGTTGTTTGAAAACGGTAAACGGTTTGAAAAAGTAAATTAGAGAGATTGTATAAATGTGATAATTAATTTTAATAAAGTTGTATATCAATATATTACGTAACTTCATAGTTACATAGTTTAAAACAATGTAAGACTAATATTCTAAAAAATTTAACTCAAAATGTTTTATGATTTACGGGCTTGCCTGTTCACAAATCATTAAACCAAAAAACTCCCACCTCCTTGCTAACTAGATCTAACTAGTCTGGATCTGTCGAATGGAAAAAATTTAAAAATCGGTTCCCCCTGCCACACTCATAACTAGATGGTCTGAATCTGCACCTGATTCTGAGAAGCCAAAAAAAAGTTTATTTATAGTTTTATATGCAGTAATTAAAACATTTTTACATTATAAATAAAACAACAACACTAAGATTTTTTATTTTTTTTTACCATTAGTAAATTATAAATATCTTTTTTGTTTTATTTTTGTAGTTGTTAAGATGCTCCCAGAAGCAGTTAATCCGTTACTGCTCTTATCACATAAGCAGTTAATCCGTTACTGCTCTTATCACAGAACAGTTACGGATCAAGCATTTTTTGGTGTTTGAGAATTTCCAGTCACGGAGTTAACTCCATACATTTGTGTTTATACTTATGTCAAATAATAATGCTTTGCAAAAAATTGGGATGATTGGAGGTTGGGCACAAAAAAGTCATAAAATTTCACCCCACCCCCCAAACGTGAGGGCAACATGTTGATAAAACATTTTTGTACTATTCTTAACTAGACTTGAATTCATCAATTAATTTTAAGTTTCATAGTATTATCTCTCAGCGTTCAAAAATTATGAGCATATAAAATTTGTAACTCTCTCAAACTAAGGGGGTTTTTAAACGGTCATAACTTTTGAACGCTGAGAGATAATATTTAAAATTTATCGATGAATGTTGTGGTTAATAATGCATATTTAGATTCACTTTCTTTGTTTTTCTTTTTCCATATAGTTTTCCGTATTAAATGCAGCAGAACTCCTTGCATGTTCTTCCTATTTAGTTAGTTGATGTATGGACTGAAGCCCCTGGCAGCTTCCAACTTCAATTTGATGCTAGACTGCTTATTAAAATATGTAACATACATATAAACATACACATACATCTTTATATACTCAGCCTTGTGAGAAATGTCATTGATTTTACTTGAAAAATTGTCTGCAGGAGCTTCAGTGTATATAATGAGGTTTTGTGAAAATGTCACGTACCTTTATTTTAAAAAAAAAAATTACCTTTTTCATGTTATTTGTCAAGCATAATGGTATAAATGTTTGAATACCACCATCACAAATTTTTAAAGAAAGTTCCTCGACAAAATAGAGGGCAAGTGATTTGGTCAATGTTGTTCCAAGGTTAGCCATGGTGTTCATAAACGTTATATATGTCCCACCAATGCAATGTTCAGAATAACTTAATTTAACTGTGTATGTCATCATGGTGACTGCCATTGTATACAGAAATAGCTTTAAAAAAATATCAGTAGTAAACAGGTGTTTTTACTTTTTAAAACTGAACCATTGGGGGGACATATATTAGCAATGAACACAAACATAATAATTTCTCTAGTCATTTTTAGGCATTTAATGTAATTTAATGTAAGACTCCTTGACTTTTATTAGGCATAAAATGCATATTTTATGGTTTTCAAGTTTTAATTTAAAGAGAAAAATATGTTGTTTAGATTGAAAATCAAAAAACCTTGATTAATTCAGCATTAGAGCAATCAGAAGTTCCCATCCCAGATACAACACATTGTTTAGATGTGAGAGGATCAACCAACCACAATATCAGAGTTTCAGGCCAACGACCACCCAAGTTAGATATGGTATTGAGCATTGTCATATATGTGCCCCCAATAGTTGGATCACTTACACGGGCAAAAAAACCCATAATTGCCACAAACATAGTGTATAAAGCAATCTACAAAAGATATGAAACATAATTAAAAAGTTGAAATTTTTGAATACAAAAATTCATTGTACTAAGTAACATACCTGATGCATGGCATATGCAAATAAAATAATGCCATAGTAGTAGTAAGGAAAACCTTCCGTGTTGGTATTTGAGAAAGTACTTGTCCAATATACTAACGCAGCAAAAACTAGTCCCATTACCAAACGAAAGGGAATGGCTTTTATAAAAAGATCAAGAGGGCGAGGTCCTAAAAAAAGTTTATAATTCTAAAAAATTCTCAACACATAAAAAGTTAACCAAAATATTATTTTGAAATATTATATTATTTAACATTGACTATAAATCAATAGAAAACTTGATAGTAAAAATGTTACTTTGTGTGATACAAAGATTTTAAAACAGCAAAAAAAATTCTTTTGATGATGACAAAAAAAAGCTGAGACTTAAATTGATAGATTGCTTGCCCTAACCAAAACCCTCAGATGATGTAGTGAAACTCTTTGCATGTACTGCCTATTTGCCTGTCAATGTAGTCTACTTATTTGTCAATCAGCACTCCTTGCATTTTCTGCCTATTTGTCAGTCGATGTAGCAGCACTCTTTGCACATTTTGCCTATTTGTCAGTTGATGTAGCAGCACTCCTCGCATGTTCTACCTATTTATCATTCGATAAATGTAAACTCTGCTACGCTAATCCCTTAATAGATTAGTCAAAGAAAACAAATAAATTAAATAATAAAAACAGTAAAAAAATTAAAGAACGTTTTACTAGTTAATTGAACCGGTTATTATTACAGAACACATTTTCAAATTAAATTTGAGGTAAATAAAAAAAAAAAGAAAACTTCAGCAGTATGATGCAGAGGCTTGTCTCTTCACTTTTTCATGTAATTTTTTCGTTTTTATATATATCTATATATAATATATATAACTTAGCAGTATGATGCATCAGAGACTCACCTCATTATTTTTTCATGTAATTTTCTTATTTTTAAACATATCTATATTATATCTATATATAAAATATATAGATATAATATATATATATATATATATATATATATATATATATATATATATATATATATATAAACAAAAAAATTACATGAAAAAGTAATGAGTCGAGCCTCTGATGCATCATACTGTTAAAGTTTTCTTTTTTTTTTTTATTTACCTCAAATTTAATTAGAAAATGTGTTCTGAAATAATAACCGGTTCAATTAAGTTTAGTTTGTCAAAATAATTTTAAATAAAAACACTTTTATGTTTTATCAAGTATTAAATCAATTAATTTAATAAAGTTATTAACTAAAAGAAAGAACTCTAGGTATATATAGATTCTATATATACCTAGAAATCTTTCTTTCAGTAAATAACTTTGATAAACTAATTGATTTAATACTTGATGAAACACAAAAGTATTTTTATTCCAAATTATTTTGACTAACAAACAAGTTAGAAGAAAATGATAAAAATATAGGCTTTATAGAAAAAAAAAAAAAAAAACTTTTTTTTTTTTTTTTTTTTTTCTATAAAGCCTTTATACTTTTTCTAAAGTTCTCCAGAACCTTTGATTCTTTAGCAAAAACAAATAACATTTAACTAAATTAAAAGAAATAGGTCTTGTTCAGGTATGGTAGCAGAAGTTAAATTTCAAAATAAAAATAGGATTAATTTTGGAATTTGTAGAAACTATATCTCAAATCAGAAGATGTAGTTTCTTAAAATGTAACAGATAAAATAATAACTCAAAGATGTAGCTTCTACAAACCCTAACAGACAAAACAACATCTAAAATTAGAAAGATGCAGTTAAAAAAAGCACTTTCCTGATTTGAGACATTACTTTGTCTAGTTACTGATGTTTTATATGCAACCCTCAGAATTTGGGTAGGCATTTGGCAATGCCTACCCAAATTCTACCCAAAAAATTAATTTATTACCCTACCCTCCCATTGACCCCTGGTGGGGTCAATGGGAGGGTAGGGTAATAAATTATGATTTTCTACGAAGTTTTGAAGTTGTTCAACCTTTTTTAAACTTTTTTCAAGAAAAGAAATCAAGGCTATTACAGTGTGACATCACAGTGCTTATCTAAACAGTTAGATTTTCAGTCAAATGGTAATACATTAATAAAACATTAGTAAATTTTTAATTTATTTAATGTCTCTGGGAAACTCATATCAAATTCCTCACAAAACAAATAAACCATTTCTATACCATAATGTAGGTGTAAATACCTTTACAATCTGCTTGTTTAAACTTAATTTTTTTTTTTTAATTGACATCATTTTGGTTTTAACACCCCCTCCCCATTGTCAATACTTGTCAAACTTTTCAATATCCCTTCCCTCCCAATATTTACTGACATTATTTATGGATGGCCCCTATGATGCATTATTGATAATTAAAATCCAAGAAATTTACCTTAAAGAAAGCTCAGCTTAAAATATTAGAAAGTAAAAGAGATTTAATTTTTGTAACAAATTTAAAATAGAAACAAAAATTATTTTATGTTCATAAAAGCAAATTAAATAATGAGTATGTTTAAAGCAGCTTTCTTTCTATTTGATATAAAATTAGTAAAAACTCTATACAAAGTATTTATCAGATCTTTAATTGAACTTGCAGTTCTTGTGTGGTCACTGTATTATTATAAAGATATAAATATATGGGAAAAGGTTTAGCATAGAATGAGGAGATGTGTGCCATTATGAAAAAAATTAACTTTGAAAGACTGGAAATGATAAAAATAATGACCATAGAAACAATAAGTGTTATGTTACAAGTTTTACAGTAGTGCAACTGTAAGTTTTTGCCCAGCCATCCTTCGGTCGAATCAAAAACTGAAAAAATTAATTTAAATACTGTTTTAATAAAATAATAATAATAAAAAACTGTTTAATTAAAAATACATTATTTAATTAAAAAAATGAAACTGTGTATTTTTGTTGTGGTCAGTAATGGTTTCATTTTGTTTCTTTTTGTCAATCAAAACAGGAAATTCTGCAAGTATATATGTAAGTATATCGTAAGTGTAAAGGAAATGGAACAGAAGATCCATTTTCGTTATGCAAAGCTAAAAAGTTATAAGCCATTAATAAAATTTTTTATAAAAAGAAAAATATTTTATGATTTGTTTTATTAATGATCATTATGTTTAATTTTTAATTTGAAAAAGTTTAAATAAAAGTTTGCTTTAACAAAAGGATAAGCATTACTAATGATTCATGTGCAAATTCATGTAATTCAAAATGGGTTAAAATTTCTCAAAAAACAAGGGGTTGCACCCTGCATCACCAAATTCGCTGAAATTTGGCACAAATGTTTCAAGATATAAGTTAGGAAAGACTGTAAAATTTTTTCAAAAAATTCTCAACCTTTTAAGATTAACAGCAACTTGAAGTTAGTTATTTTTTGACTGAAAAAAGAAGGGGGATAAAGCCCGAAATATGTCAATTTACCATTACCCTTTTAACAAACTTGTAAAAATGTTGTGAAGCTAAAACTTGGTACCAAAGGAGTTTAAAACCTGCTGAATCTGAAAATCATAAACTTATATCTCTTAAAACAATAAAATATAGTTTATTTTTAGATCCACAAAACGCACTTGTTAATGACAATAAAAAAGGCCATTGACAACAATAGTTCTAGAAAAAATCTGACTGATGAAAAAAAGTTTTGGTTTTCGTTATTTTAAATATTAAACATAAATCTACTTTGCGAACCAATTTTTATTTGGCCTTATGTTTTATCAAGGAGTTATTGATGTTTTAGTTTTTCAATTTTTCTAAAGATATTTTGCACAAAAAAAAAAAAAAATTTGCAAATATATTTTGAATACAAATACAATTATTTTTGTTTTGTAATAGCTTTGTAAAAAATTTACAAAGTTATTACAAAACATAGTTGAATATTTTATAAATTTTTTGTTGAACATTTTATTTAAATTTATAAATTTCTTTTTACTTTCATTACATAATAATAATATCATTTTCATTACATAATACCATGTCATTAAACTTAACAATATTATGTAACTTTTGTTGTTGATTGTTTTGTTGTAATAAAACATTTATTATCATCAATAAAAAAAGTAATAAAATGATATAATAATGTCTAATTAACATTATTATGTTAAGTTACATAACTAAATAAAATTATATTTAGTTATCTTTTACTTTTACACAACTTTTTGTAAGTAGTTAATGGAAAATTTACAATAATTAGTAGATAGTTAGGCATTTAAAATATGTCTATTAAACTAATAGCTACTTGTTCAAGCAATATGTTCTTTATAAAAACATATTGATATGAATTATTTTTGTTTTGTAATAGCTTTGTAAAAAATTTACAAAGTTATTACAAAACATAGTTGAACATTTTATAAATTTGTTTCTTTTTGCTTTCATTACATAATAACAATGACATTTTCATTACATAATATCATGTCACTAAATTTAACAATATTATGTAACTTTTGTTGTTGATTGTTTTGTTGTAATAAAACATTTATTATCATCAATAAAAAAAGTAATAAAATGATATAATAATGTCTAATTAACATTACCATGTTAAGTTACATAACTAAATAAAATTATATTTAGTTATCTTTTACTTTTACACAACTTTTTGTAAGTAGTTAATGGAGAATTTACAATAATTAGTAGATAGTTAGGCGTTTAAAATATGTCTATTAAACTAATAGCTACTTGTTCAAGCAATATGTTCTTTATAAATACATATTGATATGATATTGTTTGTGTTTAAGTGTACTTTCCTTGTTAGGGACATTAAGATTATTTAAGATTTCTTGTATTAAGTGTTTAGACAGAGATTCCTCATTATATTTTTATATGGATAACAAAATTAATTGCTGCTTTGTAAATAATTATGGAGCTTGTTATAAACAATCATATACTCAAGAAAGAAATCTGATTGAAGATATTGACAGCAATGATCATAAGCTACTTGAAAAACGAACAAATCTGAAACAAGAACAAATTACTAATATATCCACACACCATCATATGTTAGTTGTAAGATATGAGAGTAATCAGAAAAGTTGCTGTAATCCATTTCTGAGTCACCAAAAGGTGTGTAGAGATAAAAATTTATATATTTATATTTCATTAGGTAATATCATTATTAATAAGTCATATAAGTTTTTTTGGTAATAAGATTTGTTCAATGTTTCATAGTTATTAATATAACAAATTGTATAGTAATATAATTACATAATATATATAATTAATGTTATTTAAGTAATGTAATTACTTTCTTCTTACGTGTGATTACAATGCATACTGTGTTAGAAGCAGAAACCATAGGTTTAAATCTTATACCTGGAAAAAAACTGTGTCGAACCTGTCGAAGTAAAGTTATGACATGTTTATCAAAAAGTATAAGTGAAAATAAAAATGATGAAGATTTTGATATTGTTAATGAAAAATCCATTCAAAATAAAAAAGAAAGTGTAGATACACACTTTGCATTTGCCAGAGTATCTCCAATTAAGGTCAAAGGATTGCACAAGTCAGGTAAAATCAGAGAAGGTAAATGAAAATTGACAGCATAAACAACCTCCATTAAAAAAAGGTAGCCATTTCCCCTAATATATTAGAAGAAAGTTTTGAAGAACAGTCAAGTTTTAATAATGAGTATATGGAAAAAGCAAACTTGTTTGATAACATGATGGTATTGTTAACTAACAAAATTGCAGAGTCTACATCAACATCAAAAAAAGTACAACTTGCGACACTTGCTCCAACAGACTGGTCAATAAAAAAGGTATCTGAAACATTGCATGTAACAAACTTTTTTTGCACCTTGCGACCTAAATGGTGTATTACTGTTGGTTTCTCAGGAACACATTCTGTATGCGTCTGTACTATTCATCAGAATTTGAAACTACTTTTACATCCTTTTGGTGTGACATACAAAGAATTGTTACCTTATATTGTCTGTGATATAACTAATATAGACTGTATGATGAGGAAATGTGAAAAATGCCCAGCAACTATGAATGCATTGGTTGAAAAACTTTATGATATACTTGGAGAATTTGAAGATGATGATGAGATTGAATTTGATCAATGGACAACAACAGATAGGTCAAACTTGACACATAATAAAGAGCCAGTGTTTGAATACATTGAACTAGTATGTAGAAAACTGGAAAAACTTGCACCACATTCGTATTTAGCAAAGAGTCAAGCATTATACCTGAGATCAAGAAAGGAAGATATGAATGAGGTAACAGCATTATTTCGGTGTGATTTTTCAAAAAACTATAAATTTGTAGTTCAGGATGAAGTGCAAAGCTTTCATTGGACAAATTTATAATGTACACTTCATCCAGTGAATATTTATTTCAAAAAAGAAGGCATTCTCAAGCACAAATCCTATTGTATTATTTCGGATGATATGATCCATGATGTGAACATGGTTTATAAAAATATTGAGTTTGTTTGCAATGATATAAAAACAAATTTGCCTCAAATAAAAAATATTGAATACTTTTCAGATGGGTGTGCAGGTCAATATAAGAATTGCAAAAATATGTTAAATCTTTGTTTCCATTGTGAAGATTTTGGTTCTACTGCTAAATGGAACTTTTTTGCAACTAGTCACGGTAAGCAACCTTGTGATGGGATAGGTGGTACAGTCAAACGCCTGGCAACACTAGCAAGTTTGCAAAGAGATATGGATAATCATACTTTATCTCCACAAACAATGTATAAATATTGCAATGAAAACATTGAAGGCATAAATTTCATATTTATTTCATCAGAAGATTTAACTTTGGTGAGAACCGCTTTTAAAGAACGATTGGATACTGCTAATACAATACCTGGAACACGTAGTTACCATCAGTTTGTACCACTTGGCAATCAAAAGGTAAATTATTATTTTTTAATTATACCTTTTACCATATTTTAAAATACACGAATAACTTTTATTGATAAACTCAAATAGATATTAGATTTTTGCAGAACCATTATCAAAAATATTAGTATTTTATTTTATTTCCTCTGCATTTGCTATCTATGTATTTAATAAAACATGTTTGATAAGTAAAACGGAATAATTGCATATGTTACGATTTGTTTAGGTAGGCACTAAGCTATGCAGTGTTGATGAAGAATTTGCTTTAATTCATGAATTTGGAAATATCCAGATAACAACTGTAAACCTAGTACCAGGTAATTATGCCTGTGTTTCCTATGAGCAAAAGTGGTGGATAGGAGTCATTGAAGATATTAATTTAGAAGAAAAAGATGTGCTTGTAAAATTTATGTGTCCTAATGGTCCTGCACGGTCGTTTAAATGGCCACCAAAGGAAAGTCAATGCTGGATTCCTGTCCACATTATTTGCAAAGTTGAGGTACCAATAACAAAAACAGGACTTTGCTACTATTTAGCCAAAGACGACTTAATTATTTTCCTTAATTATTTTCCTAAGAAAGTAGAGATTTTTATATTTATGAGTCTATTATGTCTTACCCATTCTTTTTTTAAATATTATGTTTTGTGAACCAACTTGTAAATAATGTAAATGTAAAGCATATATAAAATCACTAAAGTTTAGTATTTCTTTAAACAAATTTATATAAGTTTAAATTTTGTTGTAAATATCATATGAAAAAGAAAAAGATAATAAAGTCACTAAATTTTTAGTTTCTAATTTGATTGATTGGTAAAAAGTGGTAAAAAGGCCAAAACAAAATTGGTTCGAAAAGTAGGTGTGGATCTTATTTTTAAGAAAATCAAAATTACATTTTTTTTATATCAGTCAGATTTTTTTTATAGCTATAATTGTCAATGCCCTTTTTTCTCGGCGTTATAAAGTGTATTTTATGGATCTTAAAATAAGCTACATTCCCTTGTTTTGACATATAAAAAACTATATTTTTCGGATTTAACAGGTTTTAAACTCTTTTGGTACAAAGTTTCATAATTGTGGTATCACTACAAGCACGATATTAAGGTGAAAGTAAACGGAATGATTTTCGGCACTTTTTCCCCCTCAGTTTTTAGTCAAAATCAAGGAAACTTTAAATTGCTGTAAATTATAAACGGTAAGAAATTTTATGAAAAAAAATTACAATCTTTCCTAACATATGTCTATAAACATTTGTGCCAAGTTTCAAAAATTTTGTTGATAAAGGGTGCAGATTTGTTTTTTTGTGTTTTTTGAGAAATTTTTACCCAAATGTGGTTGCAATGTTTGAAAAATACTACATTTGCATTTTGAATTAAAATAAAATGTGATTTTAAACTCATTTAGGATTAAAAAGAAAATGTAATTTAAAATACAGAAACAATGTTTTCAAAAAAAGTACTTTAAAACATGTTGAATCGTGTTCTTATTAAATTATATCGCATTGTAGAATATAACTACATGGCTTTAAAAGGCTTTTTTAAATCAATCACAATAAATAACTTCATTGTTTAAAATACAGTTTTATAATCAGTTAGTTAGGTAATAATTTCCAAAAGAATAATAAAATTAAAATACCAGTCTGGTTGCCAGGCAACTAACTGGTATTTTTTTTCCAAATTTCAGTTGTTCTTTGCAAAAATGAGTTGTCCTGTACAGCCATGACATTACACCCCTGTACACAACAACAACAGCAACAACAACTACAACTACTAGTAGTTTAGAAAAAAAAAGAAATAATGTGATTATATTCAAAAATTTACATTCAAATAAACCAAAAGGTACTAAAAACCTGCAGTAAAATGACTGATGGCCAGAGGTAGAATTATTTGCAAAGGAACTAATGGAACAGCTAAAAATGAAAGAGTTTCTTTACTCACACCGGCTTCAATTAATTTTAAACCTGTAACAGCATCTGTTGCTGCAAAACCAACCTAAAAATAAAAGCCAATACTATAATCAATAACCTATATCACCATAAATAGTGACAGAATACCATAAATAATGACATATTACAGTAAACAATAACATTAATAACCAACTCTTACTTTGACGGTTAATAGTACTATAACAATTTGTTGAACAGCTGGAAGTTTAACTATTTTGAACAATTTTAAATATGTTCCCATGATACTGTCCTGTTCTTTATCATTCTCTTCTTTTTCACTTTTAAATATCCATACCAAACTTGTGATAATAAAAAATAAAATTCCCCATACAAATAAAAACCCTAAAAGATTAATTCAAATATATAAAAATAAAGAAAAACTTTTTATTAATATCAATAATCTTTATTATTTTCTCCATCTATTACATAATTTTTATGAAAAATCCATATTTAAAAAAAAAAAAAAAAAAAAAAAAAAACTTTTACAAGAAAAATCAAGACAAGTTAACCCACAACCAACTAATGTTTGTCATTTTAGCATAACTACCATATTTAACATGTAATAGTTATTTATTTTTTTAATATGTAATAGTAATTTATTTTTTTAATTTCTATATAAACTTTGATACTATTTACATTTAGATTGACATACTTTTGAAAAAAAAAAAATTACTTTTTGAAATTATTAGGAACCTGTTAGATGTTCAATGGTCTTGAGCAACGTTTTTTAAACTTTTAAAATCTAGAACCATTTTATTATACAGAATTAATTCAGGAAATGGGAGGAGACTTTTAAACTCAACAAATTACATAGTTCTTTCGAAATTATGTTGCACAATACCTAAATTCTATTTAGCTCCTTAACAAAACATTTGAAAAAGACATTTAAAAAAAAAAACTTAAAAGCAAAAATTATTAAATTTAAATTTAGTGCGAACAAATTAACTATCATTTTTTCTTAATCAAGTTGCATACATATATACATGCATACATTTCAAGTTGCATACATATATACATGCATACATTTCAAATTATATTAATTCAACCCATTTCATAAATGAAACAGCTTATGTTCTAACCAGTTGATTTTAATCAAAAAACTATACAAAAAAGTTCTATGCAAGTTTAAGAAAACAAACACCTTAAAAATAGTATTAAGGAAGAAAATATAATAAATTAATAATAAATATATAATATATAAATTAACATTGTTTCAAACCAATACTGTTTTTTTATTAAAAAAAAAAAACAACCAAAAATCAGCTATACAATAAAGTCCGCTAAAAAACTTTTATTTGCATTCATATATGTTTACTTTAGAAATGCTTATAATCAGATAAACTTTTTCTGCACAATAAAGACAGTAGAAATTTACTTTGAACATGTTTTCATAACTAGGATTATTTAAAAAAAAAAAAAAAATTAATTTGGAGGCAGTGGTTTAACTCATCTGGAAAAATCAATAACTTAGTTCTCACCACCAATGGTTATGATTCCTTGATTCTGAGGTATTGTACGCAAATATTTATTACAAAAATCAGGAGAACTAAAGGCAAGCAAAATGACATTCCCTAAAAAATATCCAGCTGTTTGCCCAACACTGTTACATGTAGACCCATACCCAACATTTCGCTTTTGAAGCATTGTAAGTGCCCAACCATCAACAACAATATCTTGTGTTGCGGCAAGGAAATTTAATAAAAAAAATATCACTGTTAGAAATATTACATTTGGGAGCTCGCTTTCCAAAATGGTATCAATATTCTAAACAAAATATTCAAACTATAAGTATGATATAAATATAAACATTTACTATTGTATAAATATAAATATTTACTACTGATTGATGTATGTGATAAACTTTATGCAAGAAGCTGCTTGGCTTTTAAACAATGATGATTGTGAATAGTTAATTTCATTATGATACGGTTGCATATTTGATAAAATATACAGTTGATGAAAGCTAATACTTTTTTAAATATTCATAACTACATATATTATTTAATGTAAATATCTAAAAAATATATTATGTAATATGTATAATAATTTATATATACATATAATATGTAACATAAATATTTAAAAAATAAAATAACTTTGTTCAATGCAGCAGTATCAAATGGAAGTTAACTATTAACGATCATAATTGTTTAAAAGCCAAGCAGCTACTCACATAAAATTTATTACAACTTTTTTTTTTTCAATTATTTATTTCAAAATAATTGATTTAAAAAAAAAATTAAATATTGTTCAATTTTATCTTTAATATTTCAAATATTGTTATTTGTTTTGTATAATTTTTAAAAAAAAATTCTTTTAAATGCTGCCTGTAATACAAATACTTCAGTGTCACAAAGAAGTTGTCACAAAAAAGATTTTAATGAGAGAAACAATTAGGAAACACTTCAAAAACTGCTAAATATATCCACACAAAAAAATATAAATAAAAATAAAATGAAACAAAAAAAAACTAGTAGAAAAAAAATCATGTAAAAGAATTTAAAACTTGTCAGCTTGCTAACATCCACTATGCACTTTTGCAGCCTTTTGCAACATTTTTGTTACAAGAAAGCATCTTGCAGCATTTTTATTTGGCCTGTTTCTATTTAAATAAATAAAAATTTTTATGGAAAATATTACTTATTAAATAAACTCTAAATTAAAAATAAAAAAATATTAAAAACCTAAAAGTCTGGAGACTTGCTAAAAAAAAAAAAAGTTAAAAAAAAAAAGTTTTTACTTGCTAAAAAAAAAAAGCTTTTACTTGCTAAAAAAGGATTTTATTTAAATAATTACAATATACTATTGCAGAGTTAAACAATACCAGTCTCTATTCTAGGAAAAAAATTTGGGCAGCGGTACCCTCGGTAACAGTCTAGAATAGTCCCTACCAGTTTCTCCAATCTTTGTTATGTACTTTTTTGTTGAACTTTTTCAAAAAAAATTTTTCCAGATTTTTTACATTGCAACTACTGTTTTTTAGTAACATTAGCGGGTGTCTTCTTTCCTTTCTCTCTTGCTACAAGTTTCACATTTTGCCTTTGTTCTTCAGATTTACTTGCAAAGAAATGCTAAATGAAAGGAATATTTCTCTCAGTGCAGTCATTTGCTATTTGCATGTTTTTTTATGAACTCAAAAAACTTTCAGTAGTTCTCAATCATCCCAGCAGCCAGAATCTCCCAGTAGAGTCAATAATATTGGCAACAGTTGCTATTGCTCTGTGGTGTTTACCAGTTTTGCAATTAACTGCAAAAATTTGATCTACACAATCATTTAATTTTTAAAAAAATCTTTTGTCTAAACTCCTCACTTTAAATTTTCAATTATGTAAACATCTAACAGAACGTCTTCTGAATTAAGGAGCATAAAAAAATTTCTTTCCAAAAGAAATTCTAGTCTGTATTTATAGAATGTAAAACATACCGAGCAGTAAATTTGGCAAATAAATAGAATTAGACAGTGACTAATTGTTTGATACATTCAAAAAAGAAATGTCTGGAGATTGAGAATTTGATATATACAGATTAAAAGAATACAATTATTACAATTTATTGAATTTACAATAAATTGTAACAAAGTAGTTAGTTTATAATAAAGTATTTATAACTTTGTAACTTTTATTCCAAAAAAGTACATTGAAAATCAGTAAATATAGCCTTTTTGGGAGAAATCGTTCAGATTGGAGGGTACAGTGTTTTTTTTTTTTTTTTTTTGACACAGACTAATAAACACGTCTAATGACTTGTTTTTATACAAATACTTATTCTTATATATGAATGAGTTTTCATATTTATATGAAATATTTCAAATATATATGAAAGTGTGCGTAGCCATATATTACTTAAAAAATTTAAAAGGCAAAATATAATACTTTTTGCATTTCTTTATAATTATTATTTACAAAATCCACTTAAAAAGACTAACAAAAATTATCAAGTAATTTAAAGTGTAAACAGTGTAATGTCATAAAATATTCTGTTAAAGATTCTCCAGAAGTCACGAGAGCCTAGATTTTGAGATGATATACAAGATTTCATGACCTGAGAATAGCAGGCTTTGGAATTAGACAAAACTTTTTTACAATGGTTCCTAGAATAATAAACAGACATTTTTTTCTTGAGAATTGTTTTTTTGATAGATATGGAAGTAATGGTTTCGATTGGCAATTGCAGCAGCACAATGTGAAGAAAACCATGGAGAAGAGTGAGGCTTGACCTGGAATCATCCATAGGGAATAAAAGATTCCATACCAGCCTAAATCCACGAATTTATGTAAGAAGTACATTTGTTAACAGGAAGATCAAAAATTTATCCAAGGACCATCACAAAGAAAATCACGGAAAGAGTCCCAGTCAGCATTAAGGTAGTTGTAAGATGTACAATGATAGGGGGATTCTGATGATAAAGAAGAATGAGATCATAGTTTTAGAGAGGTCAAACTGTGATCAGAGGCACCTAAGGGTGAATGTGAAGAAACTGAGCACTGACTAGGATCAGAAACAAGACATAAGTCGAGTAGAGAAGGTAAATGATTGAGGTTATAGGGAAAGCGAGTTGGAAAGTTGATTATTTGAGTTAGGGATTGAGAAAGACAAAAGTTGTGGGCTTTAATGCCTGCAGAGTCACTGACACTAGAGCCAAGCCATTCAGTGTGATGAACAATAAAGTCACTGACAACAACAATATTGGCTGATGGATAAAGAGAGAGGGCTTGGTCAATATGATTAGAAATAACAACAAGAAGAGTGCAGTCTTGAGATGAAGGAGAGCAATATAGAAAAAAAAGAAGAGTGATAGAGTGAAGTGGTGCTAAACAAAAGCACATAAAAGAGTAGTCTGTGGATTCAAACCTATTTTCCAGACATATGGGTGAATTCTTACCAATTGCCCAGGCCAAGCATGTGACTATTGGAGTCTTTACGAATTAAAGGAAGATAAATATCAATACTAAGATCACAAGATGAGACAGCTGAACTCAAATTAGTCTTACAGAGAACAAGTAGGTCTGATGAACTTTGCGAGAGATTAGACTCAACAGAAAAAAAGTTACTTTGAAGATCACGAATATTAGCGAATGGTTTAGTGGACTTGGTGATGGCAGTGGTTTTTTATGTTTTATTGTTTTTGTTACTTTATTCATTTTTAAATTTGTTAAAAAACTTGACTTGAAACATTGATAGTACTCAGTACACTGTTTAATAGCCCTAGCAATTGCCTCATTACTATTAATAAACCCTAAGCCGTAACAAAGGGCTCCAATGTGGCCTTGGCAATGCACACCAAAAATACAATTAGGGACACCATCCATGCACAACATGGCACTGTTAATACTTTGATATTTTTCAGCTGTTGATGGAATCAGTCTCTCTGAGAGCTTCACATAGTTCTGGAAACCTGACTACCAGCCGGCCTCAGAACCATAAAACTGAGTTTTAGAGCTGTACCCTCATTGGAGATATTTGAATATGTTGCCTAGTCATAAAAACAAAGACACAAGCAAAACCCAGACATCGAGTCAAGAAGATACAGCATTCAACATCCTAATCTTTGCCTAGGAGGTCTTCTACAAGACACCAGCTGGATACATTTAACATCTGGCCAAGATGAGTATTCTTATTGAGATACCATCTCTAGCTTTTATTCAACCAACAGCCCCAAGGCAGGGGTGTTTTATGACGGAATTTGGATCTCCTAGCTTTTGCCTAAAAAGGTGTATCCTACAAGGCAGCAGGACATGAAGCAGATTGTACTGGGTTACATGTTACCAGTAGAAGGATAAACCTGATCTTACAATAATATATATATATATATATATATATATATACATATATATATATATATATATATATATATATATATATATATATATATATATACATATATATATATATATATATATATATATATATATATATATATATATATATATATATATATATATATATATATATATATATATATATATATATATATATATATATATATATATATATATATATATATATATTATGTTAAATAGTTGATATGCAATTTGAGGTGCAATCAAAGGATATTCTAAAAAATATGCATCAAACTTATAATTTTTATGAGTTTAATGGAAATAAATTTTTACAAAAATTTATATCCTTAATGGTTTTTTAAAAATTTAAAGAAACTCTTAATAGTATTTAGAAATCCCTTTAAAACTGTGATGTTTAAAAACAGTGACATTTAAAATCACCTTTAAAAAAATTGATTAGTTACATATATTTTTTCCTTTATTTTTTATGGTATTTAACTGTTTCAGCCCATTGATGAAATTAAACAAAGATGTTTTTCAATATAATTTTAAAACTAAAAATTAAAATAAATATCTCAAATTCCAAATATATTTATTTTAAGTTCATTTTTAAATAAAAATAAAATAAAAAAAATTTAAAATAAAAAACTAAAAATAATAAAAAGAAAATAAAAAACTAAAAAAAAAGTTGATTTTTTTAAAAAGTTTCAAGACTTTAAAAGCTTATATAGGACTTTTGAGTCCTATATATGCTTTTTAGAATCTTAGAACTTTTTTAAAAGTTTTTAACTTTTTGTTTAAATTTTTTTGTGTTAAAAAATACTTTAATTTTAATATACTAGAAAAAATTAAAAAAAACCTAAAACTTGTTTTAGTTATAAAAAAAGATCTCCAAAATGATGCCTAAAATTTAGGAAGAAGAAAAAATTAAAATTATCAGAAACTTTTGAGACACATAACCTATAATAGCAACATATAAACAAAAAAACTCTAAAATGACATAATGATAGTTGTATACAAAACATTTAAGGATTTAATCTTTATTGAAAAATAAAATTTTGTAAACTTTACCAGTGAAAGAATTAACATAAAAATTCCAATCAGATACTGCACTGGTATTAACCAAGATTTTCTGCGACCCATTTTTTGAAAAAACAATGCATCAACAATAGGAGCCCACAATAACTTCAAACTGAAGGGCCAAAAAACTAAACTGAACATTGCTTGATCTTTATAGCTAATATTTTTATTTTGTAGTATCATCGGTATGCTACCTCCCATTCCAAGAGGTATACCTTGAAGCAAATAAAGTAAAAATAGAATAAAAACATTCTTATAATCACCACTTAAATTTCCTTGTTGATTTGATACATTTTCTTCATGTATTTTTTCACGGTATTCATTATCTTCACTGTTTTCTTTATTTTTAAGAGACTCTCTATTTCGCATGACTGGAGACTTTTAGTATTTCTCAATGATTTATTTTTATCTAGATAATAAAAATAAATATAAAAATATTTAATTTTCTAAAAAATGTTGTATTATTTCGTATAATTAAATAAATATGATTGAATCAAGCAGTATTATATTTAAAAAAAAAAAAAAGCATTAAATATGTATATTATCACAAATTGATTGATTTAATCAATATTAATAAATAAGATTAATTACATTTTTAATGTAAATTTTTTAATCATTAAATTGCATTTTAATCATTAAAATGCATTAAATTAATGCAATATTACAACATATTTTGTAAACAAATTTTGTTTCATTTGCATTTGATGAAACAAAAATACTTTTAAAAAATTAATGCCTTTTAAAATTAATAAAATTAAAGCTTATTTAAATATTATTTTTTAAGCAGCATTTAATGTACATAATGTGCAAACTTAATTTACATTTGTTTAAACTATTTTAATATAAAGTAAAAATTAGGTAAATTATTAATTGCAATAAAATAAATCATTAATTAAATGTACAATTACATCTTTTAATACAATTACCAAAGTACATAGTATAATTAAATCTAAAGATAACCTCTTAATGTACAGCTGCCTTAACAAAAAGTGCAAATGCAGTGCAATTGGCACTGCACTTAAAATGCAGTGCAATTGGCAGTCAACCAACAAGAAATTCTTGCAAAGCTGTATTAAGTATTTAAAGCTAAGAATATTCTAGGATAATATTCTAGGATAATATTCTGATATTCTAGGATAACATTCTTTTACAAACTTTGCTATAATGGACTGGAATCAACATCGAGATAAATTAAAGACTTTTTCTTTTTTAGTAACTTATAGTTAACTAAAAGGTTAGTTGAGGGTACACTAGTACCCTCAGTAACTACGTTAGTACCCTAGTTAACTATAAGGTTAGTTGACTAATCTAGGTTACACTAAAATGTTGTTCAAATAACTTTAGTTAGACTAAAAATGTTCTTAGACTAAAAAGTTGGTAATTTTAATTAGAGTAAAAAGCTATTCGCTAAATTTTAGTAAATTAAAAAGAAATTGACTAATTTTAGTTATGGTTTTTATAGTTTAGTTAGACTTTTAGTTTTGGTCACATCACTAAAAACTTTTTACTCATACGTTGGATGTCCGGAAATTTTAAATTGCATGACACGCAGCTTACGAATTCAAAGTACCGTTTACATTTTCGAAATTAAACTGGTTAAGCACGAGATTTAAAAAAAATATATTAAGTACGAGAAGTAAAAAAACAATGTTTTTAACTTCTTGTGCATAATATCTCGCAAATAAGCACTGCTTAATGCTGTCAACAATGTTTTTAAACTTCTCGTACTTCAGTTCCGGTAGATTTTTAATAGGGATATAAATTTCTTTGTTCTTAATACTCACCTCATTGTGGGGTCGTATGAACTATTTGTGGTTTTATCGAATATTCGATGAAATTCTAGTTTTAACAAAAATATATTAAAATTTTTGAATTTATTCTCTAGCAAATCATAGTTTCCGTTGCAAAGACGAAAAATATTTTCAAAATTTATTTCTAAAATCAAATGTCTTAAGGACGTTTCTTGTTGTACGTAAAGTTATAATAAGTTATAAAACATCAAAAATAGCATTGTACTAACTAATTTTTCTTTTATGTGCTATTTCAGTCAAATTTGTATAAACGGTCATTGGACGTAAAATGCATAATTTAAAAACCATTACAAAATAAAATATTAAAACCATAAAGAAGTCATTACAAAGACAACGCCTTTGTAATGACTTCTTTATAAAATAAAAATTGTTTTATTTTTTCATAATTTTCTTAAAACCTCCAACAATTTGAAGAAACTTTTACCTCGCTATCCTTGTTCAGGAAAAAATTGTATCACTATGGTACACCGGGTATTGCTAATGATTGGTTTTTATCCTATATTAACAATCGTACTTAGTTTGTCTCGATTAATGTATTTCAATCCATAAGTAAAGTTATTAAGTATGGTGTCCCACAGGGTTCTGTTCTAGGACCTTTACTGTTTTTAATATATATTAACGATTTGCGTCACTCTATAGATAATTCGATTGTTCATCATTTCGCTTAGGACACTAATCTTTTATGCATAAATAAATCACTCGCGCAGCTTTGTAAAAAAGTTAGTTCAGATCTCCATCATTTTTGTCATTCGTTAAAAAGTAACCGTCTTTCCCTAAATATCAATAAAACTGAATTTATTATTTTTCACCCTCAAAAAAAAAGATTGATAGTAACAATGTGAAAATTAGAATTAATGGAAAAACTTTTTCCATATATAAAAAACCTCAGACTATTTCTTGACAAAAATCTATCATGGTACGGTATCATTGATAGTAATCAATTAATTCAATTAAATAAAAAACTTTCACGTGCCATTAGTATGCTGTCATTTAAATGGCACTATGTTTCCCAATATATTCTAATATCAATTTACTATTCCTTGTTTTCCTCACATCTTAGTTATTGTTCCACTGTTTGGGGTCAAAAAGATAGTTTTCTATTACATCATATAAACAGTTTACAAAGCACTTCATTAAGAATTATGACATTTTCTCCTTAACAATATAATATCAAAAACAGGTTTTCTGAAAAATTCTAAAATTTCAAGATCTTGTAAAGCTTTATAATTGTCTTTTTGTATTTGATTTTCTTCAAAATAAACTACCAAATCCGTACAATTATTTTTTCATTAAAACTAGCGACACACACAAATATTACACTCGAAATACTGAAAATTTTAACTTGCACATTTCTTTTTCAACACTATTAAATATGGCAAGCTCTCTATAAAACATCAATATATTTATCACTAAAACATCATTATATTTCTCATCAAATAATACCATTTATATAAATAAAAATTTCAACTAAATACTCTTTTATTACCAACATTCTTCTTCTCAATCGAAACCAAATTAGGAAATTTCTATTTGAGTATATATTTAATGAATATTAATTTTATATTTTATTATTATTGCTTTTTATATATTACTGTATTTATAAACTATTATTACTTTTATTTTATACTCTCTTTTTTAACTCTACTAATATTACTATTATCATTAGTTTCAATTAATGATAATAAATTTTTGTAATTAATTTCAAGCGATTCCCTTATTTTCTTTTTATGATGGTTGTCATTTATAGACAGAGTTGTTAACCTTGCCTTTAGGCCAAAAATTAAGACCTTGGCCTTGGTTTTGAAACTGTTGGCCTTGGCCTTGAAAATTTTGGCTTTGACTTTGATTGTTTTGGCCTTGGCTAAAAAAAAAAAATATTCAAATTTAAAGAACTAAAATCTTTCATTCTTTATTTTTACGTTGTTTTTATTTTCCGGCTTTCATATATATCTACAAGTATATTTTCTTATTGACTTCATTAAATTCTGCGCATAACCTTGATTTATTTTTACATGTGGTTTATTGTCACAGCAATTGTTACCTACAAATTTGTTAATAATTGGCCTTAACGTAAGGTAAAAATTTAAGTCTTTGGTCTTGAAAATGTTTGTGTAGATCTTGGCCTTTAAGCTCTTATTCTTGGTCTAAACCTTAAAACTCTTGGCCTTGTAACATTTGACCTTGGCATTGGTCTTTTTTACTTTTGGCCTTGTTAACAAATCTGTTTATAGATAACGTATTTGGGTACATCGGGTATTCAGTTAAATATCTCATAGCATTTTTGCATTGTTCAGTTGCTCCAGAAGCATGTAAATTGCCATTTATGCATTTTGTTTGGTGCTCTATGCTTCTTTGCGAAATTCTCTTTTTTGTTTCCTCAATATAAATTTCCCCACACATGCATGTAAGCTTGAACACCCAAGGGTTGCTGTTTGGTATTAATCTAGATAAAATTTAAAATTTTGTATAAAAACTATAAACATATATATATATATATATATATATATATATATATATATATATATATATATATATATATATATATATATATATATATATATATATATATATATATATATAGTGGCGACAAAATAAATAGCACACTTTCATAACCAGTTGGTTTTTCTTTTTGGTACCAATATTTTTGTTTTTGCAACTTTTTTTTATATATATAGCATCAAAAATGTTTACATTTTTGAACGGCATTACTCATTTTATATTTATAACTGTAAAAATTGCTTGTTTAAGGCATTTTAGCACACATTAGCATTTTATTTTAAAAAAACTAAATTTTTGTAATATATCAAAAGATAATCATTCTATTTAATATTCTAAGTATATTCTTGTATATTTTTAGCAAAAAATAATAAAATAAATATTAATTTTCCTCAAAAAAAGTTTTTTTAACTATTTATACAAAGAACTTCCATGATTTTTGTAGCCAAAGGACAAAATTATAATTTTGTACAGGGTGTGCTATTTAAGTTACCCCCTTATTCTGTAGTTCTAAATCATTTATATGGTTTTACTTTTTTTTTACATAAGCTACTTTCATTTTTTAATCAGTAATGTTATCTTTTATAACTAATATATTATTAGGCTAAAAAAGTTTAGGTCTCAAAAACTTAGATCTTTGGAAATAAAGCATTACATTTTGGATATCAATCTGTGCAATTTATTTTGTCGCCACTGTATATATATATATATATATATATATATATATATATATATATATATATATATATATATATATATATATATATATATATATATATATATATATATATATATATATATATATATATATATATATATATATATATATATATATATATATATATATATATATATATATATATATATATATATATATATAAAAACATAAATATATTTAAAATACTATATATAAAAAATATAAAACAATTTTATAAAGAATTATTTTTGAATTACATGTTAAATAAAATTATTATGATTTCGCAATGATAATAATAATAACAATTATAATTGTAATAACAGAAAATTATTTTTTGTTGAAGTTGTTTTCAGATATTTTTAAGAACTCTTTTTCAGTTGGTTTAATAGAACTTTTAAAAGCTTTTGTTACTTTT